AAAAGATTTATCCTTTCGTGAGATGGAGACGAAAAGGGTCCACAACTTCTCTACTACTCTCTCTCTCTCTCTCTCTCTCTCTCTCTCTCTCTGTCTCTCTCTCTATCTCTCTCTCTCTCTCTCTCTTTCTCGATCGAGACGCTCGTCCGCTTGTCACTTGGGAGACATGGAACCTCGTTCATGAATATTCCAAACGTTATTTTGGCTTCATCGGTAGATCGAGTATTTGGACTCCGACTGTGTTATAGAAACTCATTCTGTAAAAAGGGCTTAACGTTTCTTCGTGTACGTTTGTATACACTCACATACAAACACACACACACACACATACATACATACATATATATATATATATATATATATATATATATATATTACGTTTCTAAATCAATTCGTTCGTTTGGTCGTTTTTATCGTTTCTTTCCTTTTATTTTCTTTTCCTTTTTTTTCCTTTTTTTTTCTGTTTCTTTTTTTTTTCTTTTTTTTTTTTTGTTTTCTACAGTTCCAGTATCGAGGGGAAAAATTTATAGGGACATCGTGTCAGTTAGAAATGTATCTCGTTGAAATATACTAGAGTTCAGAATAACAAAGAACTAAAGTGATAGATAGAAATAGAGAGAAAGAGAGAGAGAGAGAGAGAGAGAGAGAAGAGAGATAAAAAATAAAAAATAATAAATAAATAAAAAAGAAAAAAAGAAGAAAAGGGAAACATTGAAAAAGTATGGGTAGGAGAGGAAGAATAACGGATGCTTATTATATTCGTCGTTCCTGACTATGACAACGAGGTGTACTGCTCGACACGGTAGGATACTCGAACCGACTTGTCACATAATCGCATGCCATTTGTCACACGGCTTTGTGTCATTTCGCGTTGAGAGAACTTGACGAACGGAACTGGAGGACGAATAACGTGATCAAAATGAGAAATAAAAACAGTGAGGGATAGACAGACAGAAATAGGGAGAGAGTGAGAGAGAGAGAGAGAGAGAGAGAGAGAGAGAGAGAGAGAGAGAGAAAGAGACATAGGTAAAATAACGACGATAGGATTGACGAGAAAATGTGGAAGGGAAGTGAAGTGGGATGAAGGTAGGAGGGGAAGGATGGCGGGGGGGAGGGAAGCGACAAGAGAAGGATGGATAGCTTTCATACGTTTCAAAAATATTCGTCGTACATTCGATCGAAGATCGAATAAATCAAATTCGAACGATATATTCTATTTAATTCTGATAATTCATTGGGAAGAAAAATATATATAAAAAAAAAAAAAAGAAAAAAGAAAAGAGAAAAGAAATGATATCAATGTAATGTAATACATTCAACGAGCAAATAAAATTTCGTTGGAATTTTCCAAATTGAATTTTTTTCAAATGATCTTGTAACGATCGATTCGATTGATAATTTTCTCGATACCTTTCATTGGAATTAGTACGATGACGAATTGAATTTTTATGATCTTTTTTTAATTAGCCATTTGTCATTTTACGATCTGAGAATCGATAGAAAAAAAAAAAATGAAAAATAAAAAAAAAAAATAAAAAATGTGAATTAGACTAAAAGGATCACGAGAAAGAGTAATTTAATTTTTCTTTCTTTTTTTTTTTTTTTTTTTTTTTTTCATATAATTTGTAAGAACTTCTTGACCTACCCTATGTTCACTTTACAAATCTAAAGTTAATTTTAATTACTTCTCTCTCTCTCTCTCTCTCTCTCTCTCTCTCTCTCTCTTTGTCTAAGTATAATTCTTTAAAAAAAAAAAAAAAAAAAAAAAAAAAAAAAAAAAAAAAAAAAAAAAAAATTAAGAGATGTTAGCCATCCGAATGAGAAATCAAATTGATTGGTTACCTTAGCCACTATTTTCTAATTCTTACGATTGACAATTTCATTCGAATTTCGTAGGTTTGTTTAAAAATATATGAGAAGAACGATTGTCGGGGATGAAATGAAAATTAAATAAAAAGATTAATCCCTTTCGAAACTTTGCTCGGAGAATTTTTAATTAGACCTTTTAATTATTCTACGATAACCTTAAAAAGAAAAAAAAAAAAAGAGAGAGAGAAAGAGAAAGAGAAAGAGAAAGAGAAAGAAAAAAGAAAATTAATCTATCTAAATCGATGAAAAGTAATTTAATTATTGAAATAACCTGAGAACTTTCGGATCACGCTCTATTTACTTTACAAATCGAATGTTAATTCTATTTACTCCACTCTTTTTTTATTTATCTCTGTTTCTCTCTCTCTCTCTCTCTCTCTCTCTCTCTCTTTAAGTATTATTATCTTTTCAGCAAAAAAAAAAAGAAAGAATGAAAAGGAAAAAAAAAGAGAAATTAGCAAACCGAGAGCGAGCCATGAAAATAATTCAATGACTCTTTTCCTTTTTTTGCATTTTTATAATTCGAACGAAAATAATTTCATTCGAATCGTCGAGTTTGATCGTCACGATTATTAAATGTGTCACGTCTATGTATGAAACGTACAATTAAAATATCCGCTTTAACGTGTCCCTGTATAATTTTAGTTATTATTATTCTATCGAAGGAAGAAAATGATAAATGAGCGTAAGAAAAGAAGGGCAAAAAAAAAAAGAAAAAAAAAAAGAGAAAAAAAAGAAACAAAAAGAAAGAAAGGAAGAAATTAAAGAAAGAAAATAAAAGAAAAAGGAGTACAAAAAGAGAAAAAAAATATAAGAAATCGTGCGTCAAGAGCGGTAGTAGTACTTTTGTATCGGTTATGTCGATCGTCATGGAATGTGTGCCGGACTTGTCCACCGGGTAAGACACGGTAATCGTGTGGTATCAATATGGTGGCATGCGAAAGTTCGATCCACACTGCACACCACACTAGCAAACACACACATACACATATATATATATATATATATATGTATATACATTCATAGTAAATAAGTACGTAAGCAGGCGTAGTAATGCAGAGTTTAAAAGTTCGACGCTTAGTGTTCGACCTTTTTTACGTAGCCCTCTCCATTATATATATATATATATATATATATATATATATATATATATATGCATGTATCTATGTATTTGCGTTTAGTAGCGCCTCTAAACCGGTTATAGTTACCTACCAGTATCACCGATCCGCCTTGTTGTAATTGCGAGCCACGATTGTGTTCTTACTCGTAAGATATAATAAAAAAAAAAGAAAAAGAGAGAAATGTATGTATATATGCACAGAGAGAGAGAGAGAGAGGGAGAGAGGGAGAGAGAGAGAGAGAACGCGTGCATGTTGTTATCTATCGTACCTAATCGTTAGGACTAGAGAACGATTTTAGAAGCGGATCTCGTCCTAATCGCCGTTCTATCGATAACGACCTTTGAACTTTTACTTTGTCATGATAGAAGCAATCTAGAATGGTCCGTCTCGAAAGTCACGTGCGTTTGCATATAACTATACGTTCTTATATATTATATCTATATGTATGTATGTATGTATATATGTATGTATATATGTATGTAGCATTATATGTGTGAGTGAATGAAAGAGAGAGAAAGAGAGACGTTGGTAATGGATGGAAATTCGCCTCATGGGGATTGCAAACTTGTCCTATACGTTCCGGCTTCCTGTGGAGACTCGTAACTGGAGCGAGGAATAATATTTATATCCTGGATTGAATTCAAAACAAAAGAATTGTCTATTAAAACTCATCATAAGTCGATTGTTTGTATCGTCGACGAAAGAAAAAACAAATATATATATATATATATATATATATATATATATATATATATATTGTTTTATTTTTAAATGCACTTGTTAGATAATAAATATTTAAAACAATTCGGGAATAACATTTTTTTTTGAATTTATTATAGATATAAGTATATATATATATATATATATATACAAAAATTTAATTTGTAATCATAAATGAAATAATAATTATACCACTGCTAGATTTATTAATTATTAAGTGTTATTTTTATTATTATTATTGTTATTATTATTATTATTATTATTATTATTATTATTATTATTATTATTATTATTATTATTATTATTATTATTATTGTTATTATTATTATTATTATTATTATTATTATTATTATTATTATTCTTATAAGTCGATATAATATTATAATATTGTAATTGTATAAAAATTGTGATATAATTATATTTGTACGATTTACGCATAGTAAGAATTACGATATTCTGACATTAATTGTATTTAATTCATTTCTAATTTTTTCCTTATATTTATATTTGTATAATTTTATTATTCCAAGTTTGAATTTTCTTCAATAATATTACATCATTACAATTTATTATTAAATGCTATAATTATATTGTATTAAATGTAACTTATTTTAAAACAACGTGAAACATTAAACGTATTACAAAGTGACAATTCGATAAAATGAAAAACAAAAAAAAAAAAAGAAAAGAAAAAAAGAAAAAATGAAAAAAAAGGAAAAGAAAATAAATAAAAAATGAAAAAAAAAACCTTACAACTTCAAATTTATATACGACATTAACAATTCACGATGATATCGTATAGATAGAAAACTATTACGGATATAATATTGAATCGTCGTATTATCTTAAAATCAATGGATTACATCGTAAAACGATTAATAAACGAAAATAATTATATCGAATTAAACGATATAGAGTATCATATAGAGTAACCCGTAGTAAAGTGTGCGGCGCATGCGTTTAAATACTCGCGTCTCGTACGTTGCCTCTGCCAATTCTCCCACCTGCGCAGTTAGGATAACCCACCCTCTATCGTCCCACCCCTTTTCGCCTTTTCCAAGAGAAATCATTCGTACGTTACGTTACGTTACGTACATATTAATCATACGTATCGTACAAATATATATATATATATATATATATATATATATATATATATATGTATATATATATATCTAACCTCGTATTCGTTATTATTCCGTGTTAATATAAATTAATCTTAAAAAGGATTAACGCGTAATAATATCGCCGCAAACGAGTTTTAAAACGCTTTCCATTTCTTTGTTTCAGACTTAATGAAACTACGCCTTGAGATATTGAGATGGACGTTACGAGGACGAAAAACAAAATGGAAGTGATCTAAAAAAAAATCCCCGAATTTATTCTCGTTATCTTGCCACGAATAAGAGGAGAAAAGAGAAAAGA